TGCCCAGCTCCTCCTCAGCTTGGAGGGCGCTAAACTTGTTCTTCAAGGGTAAGTCTTGAGGAGGAGCAAGAGCCTTTCTCTTTCTACGAGAGGTCACCAGCTTCCAGCCCTCTTCAACAGCGTTATGATGCACCTTTACACACGGTGCTGAGCCCTCTGACACCTCCGCTGCAGTGGGGACAGGGGACTCCCGGAGCTGAACAGTCTCCGAGAACGCCCTGTCAATCTCCCGCTCATCCTCTCGGATGCTACGCAGCCTACTAACCTCCTCCTGTAACTCCTTTATCTGGTGACGCAACTGGTCAACCACAGCACACCTCACACAGGAGAGGAAGCGCTGGCTTCAGGGCAGCAGGATGCTGCAGGGAAGTGGGGAAGCCAAGACCATTTCACTCAGATGTGGGGAAAACAAAAGACAACTATGCCTTGGACAGCTGTTTCCTTCCTCAGAAACATGGCCATGGCAGGGCAGAGACAGTGGGCAACATCTGAGAAAAATTGTATTCTACCTGTGATAAGCACATCTTTACAAACAAAACCTGCCCTTGCTCAAGGAGAGCGCTGCTTATGTAAAAACATCCCATGACCAATTTGGGGGAGGGACAGATGAGAAGAAGTTATTTGATAGTGAAATGTTCCCTCTTGATTTCCAAAAAAAGCAGCACTCTCCCTCCAAACAAAGCCAACATAATTGTTTCTCTACTGGAGGTCAACAGACCTACTCACCACACTCTCTGCAAAGTAATAATGGATACATTCAAATCCACCTCCCTTACCTCACTGGTGAATTGACCACAGATTCCTCTTCACCTCACCACTACTTGGTCCAGTGCTTTACCTCAGTGTCTCCCAGCAGCAGCAGCCCAAGAGGAGGTATGGCCAGCCCCAGAGCTCCTGAGCACCCAGCATCAGCTTAGGATATCATCCAAGATATTTCACCTCCTTGCCCATGGGGAGGAGCAGCTGGGACAAGTTTGCATTGCTCATTCTCTGCTCTGGTCCTGAAAGGCGAGCTTCACATTGCTTATTTTTGTTAGCCTCTACTCTGACAAGATGCACTGGAGTCAAAAGGATCCTCTGAATGCCACACTGCACTCCCCAAGCCTGTTTTTCTGTGTGTGTTTGTTTAAAGTTTTGGAGGATGATCTTTTCAAACAGCAACAGCCTACTGGATGATCCATGAGTCCTTGTGAAGCTGCAGTGCTCCTGGTCTCCTGCATCAGCACTTTCCCAGCTGCAATAAGGAGGTACTGCAGCATGCACTACCCAGGAGCGAGGAAGACAGCTGGTCCCATCACGTTAGCATAGGTGATGTTGCTGAGGATATCGCTACCCCTTTTGTATGGATTATCAATGCCGGATATTAAAACATTGCTTCTGACTGCAGAACCACCCAGGCTGGCCTGTTCCTCAGCCACCTTTGAACAGCCTGTTGCTTCTGCTCACATGGTGTCCCTTCTCTGCATTTAGGTGGGATGACCAACACTATCCACTACCCAAGCAAGGCTGACATCATCACCCTGTTTGCCATGGCCTGAAGGAGAACATGAGATACTTGCAGGAAGAAGTCACTCCAGTTCCCAGGCATCTGGGACTGGGCAACAGGCATTTCCAAGCAACCAGGCCTTACATCTCCACACCTTTCCTGTACAATCTCCAGTCAAACTCTTCTTTTTTCAGCAAGGGCAATGTCACTAAAAACCCCAGTCATTGCAAAGCGTTACAGAAGGAACTTGCTGCTGCTGAATTCTGTGCAAACACTATCCTAGAAAGTCAGAGGTCTGCCCTGGCTTGACTGCAAAGAGAATACTGCTTCCCAGAGGGACCACAGACTTCCATAATTAAACTGGGTACTGAAAGCATAGGAGGCACAGTCACTTCCTCTCACAGACAGCTACGCTTCATCTGCTGCTGGCAAGCAATTGCAGGGTTCAAATTGGAGTCAAGGTTGAAAAGTCTTGGCTTTGAACCTGGCATCCCAAATCTAAGACCTTAGAGACTTCCTCTTTCTCTTCTCTGCTCCACCGCAAATGAGGATACTGGTACAAGTCTCTCAGTAGTACTGGGAGAGAGAATTACCCACAGACAGCAAGTGCTACAGATATGCAAACACACAGCTCCTGTAACACTCCTTACCTGATAGTCAAGGTCACAGCTTCAGGGGATCCATTCACGCTGAACCTGAATTCTTCTGTGAACTCCCCCAGGACAGTGGACCTGAAGGAGATCTGTATGACCTGCAGCCCCTCTGCTAAAACGATGCCCTCCTGGGGGTGAAAAGTGAAGCAGGAGCCCAGAGCCGTAGCTGGAGGGACCAAGGTAAAGAAAGCATCGATGGCTCCTTTGTTAAACAGGATTGCCTACAGCAGCAAGAAAAGTAAAATGAAGAAACATAAGGAATCTTCCTTTCATACAGGAGGCTGATTTACAGATGTTAGTTGTTTAATTAGAAAACAAAAGACAGAAGATGCTGTGTATTGCTTCCTGGCAGAAACCAAAGCAAATACAGGACAAATTTTGCCTTTGCAAAGCAGCAATAACACTGTATAACAGAGTCACTCCAGGTTTATTCCAGTGACACAGAACAGTCCACTGTATTGACTTGCAGTGCAAAGTAGCCATCAGCATAACTGAGTTGATTCAGAACAGTTCCTAAGAGTAGAGTGGGAGCAGTGTTACTTGTGAATCATCACGTAACTGCTCGTGGCCAGATAAACCCAATCCCACTAAGTGCCAAACGCATTCAGCTTCCCTTGCAGCAGCCTACAAGCAGAGGTGCTTGTCACCTCTCAGGACTGCATTTGCTGGGGTATCACTTCAAAACACACTCACTCCTTATTTAAAATTGGGAACATAAGCCCCATGGCAGAGAGAAAAGCGATAGAACCTTGTGTTCTACAGCTGACGGGATAGATTAGACAGAAATAAATACAGCAATACAAGAGCAAAAGAATGATTTCATTTTGAGGGATGACCTAACAAAACACTCTAGGAACTTCATCAGTCATGCCTTTTGCTGGGGATTGGGATCCTTCTGTTGAACATTCCTGTGTTGGTCTCACTTTATCAAGTGCTTCAGATGAGAGAGATTATGGTGGAGCAGGGCAAAAATACTATACTCTCTTTTTATTTTTTCTTAACCTACTTACTTTATCGACCAGTCTTCTGCATATAAGCACCCCATATTTATTGCATAAAGCAGAACAAACACTAAGATAGCATGATAGCTAAATTCAGAAGCATTCTCAAACTCTACTACAGCACAGGTTTTAGGCTTCTTACCATTTTTCTTTAACCTGCTAATTCTTTTGTCTTTACTCAATAAGAATCGTCAGGAAAGAAAACAGGTGCGGGGGAAACCAGCTCTACTTGTTCTAAATAACTTGTTTCATAAATATTCACAGCCACCAACTTAGACTTCAAATTATTTGCAAGAAAATGCAAATTTAGAACCAATGCCATATTGAACACTCAAGAGATCTACTGCCTTGAACATGCCACAAGTTGCCCAGTGCTCCTTCAGCTTCAACTCTTTTCTACTGGTCAAGATATGTTCGCTTCTGCCAGCAAGTACTGGCAGTATATCACTGACAAACCTGCCCGAAGCACAGCTGTACATTTTCTGATTGCTGCAAGGCAAAACCCTGCCAGTTCAATGGACTCCTTTCATCTGTTCTGGGTTTCTTTCCCCTACCTTTTGTCCTTGCAAAATCTGGCAGAAAAATTTAGAAAGCAGCATAGAAATGTGCTTTGTTTTTAAATTTTGCAGCTGCTGCTGAAAATATTTTCACACATTCCAACTCCTCGACAGCAACCTGAAAATTACTCTCTCATGTATTTTACATCCTAGTGACAAATGGCACTTAGGAAGGCCATGCTGAGCTGAGGTTTACCCACAGTCTAGCTGCTTAGGACAGCACTAACAGCATCATCCACTTATTCATATTTTCTAAAGTAATGAAAATAATAAATTGATATAGAGAAAAGCAATAAAGTATCAACATTAAAAATGCATTGAGAGCAAAATATTTTTGTACGGAAGCACCTTAGCATGCCCTTCCCTGCCACAGTCAAGCTTTTGAAAATGCTTGGCATGATGTATTGCCTCATTTACTACCTCTTCAGGTTGCTTTGTTTTTCATTTTTACAGAGATTTGAGGCCATTGTGGGGGGTAGATAAATTGAAGTTTCCTTTGCTTCATTTGCAGAAATTCTCTATTCTTTCTAGAGCCTGAGATGCACCAACCCTGAAGTGTGGTGAGACAGAGGCAAGGGAAAGCACTCCCAGTTCATTTGCAAGGGACAATTTTAAGGCAGGAGACTGGATAGCATTCCTCAGACTCCAAGGAATTAGTAGGATGCACTTAAATGAAGACTGTTTGCAGTGGACTTGAGTTCAAATGCAGTATGTTTGCTGTAACTGCTTTTTAGCAGCCGGAGTATACAGGTGCATCGCATTCAGGGCAGAAACAGCCTTTGAATGCTTCCCTTATGGGCCCAATGTTCTTTTCATGTTTCAAGTTTTTTGTGTGCTGCTAAACACATCTGATACAAGACCTCCCAGCTGCCCTCAAAAGGGAGCTGGCCAAGAGAAAGTCTGCAGGGAGAAACAAGGATGGGGGCTTTGTGAACAACAGCTACACCTTTCAGACCTCATAAAAAATGCCCACAACGTGTCAAAACCCCTGAACGTGATTATTATGGGGTGCTAACTCCCCTGCCCATAATTGCACGAGTCTCCAGAAATCTTGCTGTACATGACGCTCACTGCTCCGCAGGATGCGGTCCCCTCTGGCTGCATGGCTGGACAGGGAGAGCCAGCATCCCCAATGAGCACACCGATGGCCCACCACTCACCTCATAGCTGTGTGCTGATCCGACAAAAACCTTCCCGATGTCAAGCTGGTTAAAGCTAAAGCGGAGCCTGGGTCCTATGCCTTCCCCTCTGATGCGCAGGGGAAGCCTGGTCTCGCGGCCTGGGGAGAGATTTCCATTTCAGAACCGCCATCCCCTCTGTTGCCCTGGATTTTTCCGATTACCTCAGCCCGAAGGCCTAGTGAACCCCGGATCCCATGCTGACAGGGACCAGTTCTAGATGCTCCAAGGGAAAATGAGAGATGCTTCCCATCCCTCAGGAGACATGCAGGGAATAAGGTGCCCCTCGGGCTAGGTTTCTGATTTAGCAGTTTATACCCTGAAAAAAGGGCACTGAATTTAAAATATCATCAGCAAATTTTTTCCCATTCATTTAGATGAGTTTCGGAATTCGTTCAGTGTCTTTCACTGGCAGCACGAAACTCTTGAAACGGAAATGAAGATAAAAATATGCTGTCCATACTAATGCAATATGAGGCGATAGCATAGGACTTGAGAAGCATGAGCCCAGGCAAGGCAAAGCCCCCTGTTAACCTCGATATGTGCCTCTGAGGGCTAGTCAGAGCAGGCAGAACACCTCAGCCTCCACCTGTGCCCATGCACGTATGGCTCTGTACCTGTGTGCCCCAGGGTTTGCCTCCCATAGTAGCCCCGAAATAAGACAGGGCCTTCTGATCTCCAGAGGTGGGAAGCACTCACCTACTCCCACCATGACACCAGAGCCCAGCTCTGCAAAGACACTTTGCCTGCGGCATGCTGAGCAGTTATGGAAAACCTGCCTATTCATTACCAGCAGTTAGGTAACAGGGCATGCGTGTGCTGCTAACATGCACTTCCCTTGCTGCAAAGGTAACTGTGAGAACCCAGGTAAGATGCTAATTTTCTCCTGTAAGGCTTAAAAAAAAAAAAAGATATCACATAGTACCAGGTCTTTTAGTCTGAAGGCTGTTCTTTGGGCTGGAGCAGCCCAAAGTATCCGAATCCTAGCTGAAGTTTGGGTTGGGTCTCTCTGCCATCGCATTCTACTCTGCATGGAAAGTGAGTAGCACAAGAGGGAGATGAAAGCCCAGAAATTGTATATGATCTTCACTGTAGTTTTTTGGGGGAAAAATATTCTTCCATCCTACAAGCTTCTTTTGTGTGATGCTCACCATTTATTAAAGATGAGGGATTAAATAGTTGCTTAAAAAAAAAAAAATCAGTTGCATAGTTATTCAGAATATCCAAAATGGCTTTCTCTTGGAAGGAAGAACCCAGATATGACAACATGGTGACTATATCACAACTTGAAAAAACTCTCCTGGAATAGCCTGGGCCCCTTCCAATGATTACTGACTTTTTGATCTCACAGCCATGTTTGATAGCATCCACAGTCAGAAAATAATTGCTATGGAGATTTTGTTACATTCAATGTTTAAGTGGATGTAGTCAAAGTCTGGCTGATAGCAGAGATGAGAGTTATATTCTACAGTTTGGCTATTAATTGGAGAGCTGTGTTTCTATTTCATGGATACTGCAAAAAAGGCAGTATTTGGTGCTCACGGTCAAAAGACTTTTCTATCTTGGATCACATGTGGTTTAATTTTCATTAGAAAGAACCTCAGGTCTAAACCATCAATGCTCTTGGGAACAGGCAGAGACTTCCAAGGGGCAAGTTTTTTTCCATGATCACACTGTAAAGCTTAAATGCACAGATCAGTATGAGAGACTTGTCCCATGGCCACTGCAATCAAACAAATCGGTGGCAATTCTTCTCCTTCTGGAGCATGTCCTCAACCTCTCTTGAGGGTCCAAAGAAACTTTCTACCCCTACACTGATCCTGGAAATCCTAGACATTTTGCTCTTCTTCCTTCCAGCTGAACCTCAGAGTGGGCTTTTCCCAATGGAGGAGGAACAGACTAAGCTACAGGCAGGATCGCTCAGGACAGCTGAGAGGAGATCAAATGAGAGTGTGTCCTCCTCCTCTTTGCTAGGAGCTGGGGCTTGCAGGTGCAACCGAGCCTGCGTAGGGGTGAGCTGTGGTCCTGTGATTTTCTCACCGTAGCATGTGGCCTGAAGCACACAGACTGGACCACACAGCATGGACCACAGTGAGGGCACGAAGGGGCTACAACCCCCTGCTTGCCCCCCATCCCAAATCCACATCCAGCACTGGAGGCAGAAGTTGGATCTGAACAGGAATGACAGCTGGGTATGTGATACAGAATGCATGATTTGGCATTACTTTCCTACAGTCATCTCCTTGCTTTCAAATACTTGGAGGTGTAAACGGCACAACAGCCAAGGACTTTGTCGTCACTTAACTTTCACTGCTTTCTAACACCCAGGGTCCTGTTCACAGAACATCCCAACATCGAGTGACTGGTTTTGAACATGATTCTCACCTAACCATTTCACTAAACAGAGGCCCATATCTTCATATTATCAGTACAGTCCCATCACAATGTCACTTGGGATTTTGTCTCTCTATCTACAATAACCCAACACTGAGGGCATGGCCCAGGCCTATGAGAGTAGCTTAGAAGGCTTTCTAGAAGATACTGGTCATAACCCATAACTACAGGGAGTAGTTGCTGCACTTTTAACTATGCACCTCCCTAAGGACTAGGATTTGGAAATCTGTCATGTGGAGTTGATGCGAAAACATCTCTGAGTACAGTCAGACAAACTTAAAAATGAATTTTATGTGACTGACCCACACCCTCTTGTGTGCTTTCTTCCAGCACTCAAGACCCACGGTTTTATTTGAATAACTAGGAAAGTTCATTCTGAGCTTAAATATTTGCCAAGAGCAAATTTCAAATCATTTCTCTTCCTAACTGCCAGATTTGCAAGTTGCACAGTGCTGATTAGCTCAGTAAATCACCTGATGCAGAAGCATCTGCTAAGCAATTTCTGGAGACACCTGCAAAAAAAGTAGAGACCAGCAAAGCCCCTTTCCTGTGTGGGGGGAAGATCCAGCTGTATAATTCACACTGCTGCATTGGGGCCTACTGCAGCAAAACTGACAAATATTCTCAGCAAGGGGCACACAGGCCATCTGCAAATCACACTCCAAAGGGATTTGTGACTGGCAGGCAAGATGCTGGAGGAATGCAGTCACTTCTTGGAGGGATCAAGCAGCAAAACTAATTGACATCCTAGTTAAAGATCATTATTTTTCTTTAAACTTTTTGCACCAAGGGACCTTGCCTCTGACTGTGACAGTCTCAGAATCACAGAATCGTTTAGGTTGGAAGGGATCTCTGGAGATCATCTAGTCCAACCTCCCTGCTCAAGCACATTTCCCAGGATCACATCCAGACGGGTTTTGAATATCTCCAGTGAAGGAGACTCCACTAGCTCTCTGGGCAACCTGTTCCAATGCTCTGTCACCCTCACAGTCTAGAAGATTTTTCTCAGGTTTAGGTGGAACTTCCTGTGGTTCAGTTTCTGCCCGTTGCCTCTTGTCCTGTCGCTGGGCACCACGGAGAAGAGACTGGCCTCATCCTCTTGACACCCCCCCTTCAGATACTTATACACGTTGATCAGATCGCCTCTCAGTCTTCTCTTCTCCAGGCTCAACAGGCCCAGCTCTCGCAGCCTTTCTTCATAGCAGAGATGCTCCAGTCCCCTAATCATCTTGGTAGCCCTCCGCTGGACTCTCTCCAGTAGCGCCATGTCTCTCTTGTACTGGGGAGCCCAGAATTGGACACAGCACTCCAAGTGAGGCCTCCCCAGGGCTGAGGAGAGGGGCAGGATCACCTCCCTCCACCTGCTGGCAACACTCTGCCTAATGCACCCCAGCAGACCATTGGCCTTCTCGGCCACAAGGGCACACTGCTGGCTCAGGCTTAACTTGTTGTCCACCAGCACTCCCAGGTCCTTCTCAGCGGAGCTGCTTTCCAGCAGGTCAGCCCCAAGCCTGTACTGCTGCATGTAGTTATCACTCCCTAGGTGCAGGACCCTGCACTTGCCTTTGTTGAACTTCATGAGGTTCCTCTCCGCCCAGCTCTCCAGCCTGTCCAGGTCCCTCGGCATGGCATCACAGTCTTCTGGTGGGTCAGCCTCTCCCCCCAGCTTTGCATCATCAGCAAACTTGCTGAGGCTGCACTCTGTCCCTTCCTCCAGGGCCC